GCATACATAAAATATATTCCAACGGATTGAGAATATCCTTCCATTTTAAAGTATGTTTAAAAAATAGTTAATAAAGTGCAAATTAGGGCGTGAACCTATATTATAAAGTGTATAAAATGACAGATAAAGCCAGTTTGGAGGGTTTTATAAATAAATATGGTGGAATTTTCGAGAATCTCGCTTTTTAATCGAAGGAAGAGTATTTTATTCAATTTAGAATGAAAGCTGATCAAAATGAAACACATGAACGACACGCTAATGTTATTGACGACTTTCTTCAAACGTTTTCTAGTTTTACGAAAACTAACTAAATAATTCGAAAATCATTTTCGTTGCTAAAGCGCCTTTTGTTCCGAAAAATGTACACGCGCGTCAATATTTATCATTCAATAAAAAAAGTGTTAGATACAAAACGTTACGTATTGTAAGGCCAAAATAAATTTGGAAATCAAAAAGAGTCAACAAGGGCACTTTTCGAAACAACAAACTGTTATCGGAAGGGTATAAAATGGTTTTCACCAATTTTTTAACAAGAGCCGTCCCTAGATTATGATTACATATGATTATGATTACATATGATACATATATAAAAAAAAAAATCATTATAACTAAGATAAGTACCAAATTAATGATTTAAAAGATTATTCCTATTGTCTTTAAAATAGGTTTGCAATGTGCTGATGTGAAATGTTATCATCGACTAAAAACTTAAAATCTTTATAATAAATTGATCGAAAACGATCCATAAATTGGTTTAGACTATGCAAAATGTTTAAGTTTAGTAAGCAGCGACTAACTTTTATTATGGAACCGAAAGACCCTGTTAAAAGGGTTCAAAATTAAAATAAAATATGTACCAAGTAGAAGCAACAATTTCCAAGTAAATGTAGTAGAATTTTTTAATTTTGAATCTTGAGAGATGCAGATTCCATCTTTGGATAATTTATGTTGAAAATGGTAATGTGACGGCCACCCCCCAGGCCCCCTCTTCTTTTTGATTTGTTCGTGTGTTTTACTTTACTCTCTTTGAAATGTTATTAATTATTTCACAAGTTTTATTTTACTTTAAATTCTATACTTACTATATTTGGCCTTTTTCCTCTAGTAGTAGGGATAAACAGTCGCTTTTTCACAAACAAAAAAAGAAAAATTATCTATTTGTTGAAATTTGACGATTGAAATTAGTCTCCTGCGATTTAAAATGTAGTAGTTTAATTTTATTTGTAATTACAATAAAGTGAAAGTTGTATACTAAAGAATGATCACGGAAAATGTCTACTTTCAACCAGGACCGGCCTTAGACTACTTTGTTCTCTATTAGATTTCAAATATTATTCTAAAAAAAAAATAAAATTCCCTCAAACTTGAGCCTTCTACTGATTAGCCGAAAAATACAGTATCATCACCTGTAAATATTAAAGCACATTCACCAATCGTAAAATACATTTAAAAAATTTCAGTAAATAACCAATTCTGTTATCTTTATTATTGTTTTTGCTTCTTATAGATGCCATATTTAATTTTTGTCTAAGCATAGCTTCTAGCTGTACGCCACATATATTTGTAAATCTGAGGATGTGTCTGAAAATAACGATATTGGCTATGTAGAATATAAAAAATAAATAAAACTTACTTATTTCCAATTATTTTCAATGTACTTGCACCATTCCGTTATCCATTCTTTGAGGGTGTGCTGAGTATATCCATTACGGAATTATTGAACTTCAAATTTGCTGCTTCTTAGCCCCTTTTCATCTCTGGGAAAAAGTAATCACATGGATAAAGATCAGGGGCGTATCATTACTTTTACGCCTATTTCTTTAAGACTTCATAAGTCCATAAGTTTTAGTATCTTTGTTTTTTAGCATTTTCTTAGCAGGTACAGTCGGCGCAACCCGAATGTGAAAGCTCATTTGTTGTCAAGGGTTTTTTTTGAAATTCATTCCTGTAAGCCTGGCTTTGGCCAATAACGTTACAAAGAGAGGGAAAAATATTGAAAATAAAAATATATTATTTTTATTAGTGCCGTTTTGTCGAATCGGTTCTACAACATGTTTGGTTTTTCTCATTTTAATAATATGGTTGTTGATCAAGTAAAGGCCGAAACAATCAAGAACACACCATTATATGTATTTTGGCGTTCACATTTCGGTTTCGTCGATTGTACAGGGTGTCTGATTAAGGACTCGTAGCGGCTGTATCTCAGAAACTATTGATCCTACGGCTTAGAAAAAAATTTTTTTATAACAAAAACGGTCAAGAGAAAATGCTGGAAATTATTTTGAACTTTCTATTTTAACCGTTAGAGGGCGTAATTCGCTATGGTAATTCAAAAAATGACTTTTCCCCTATAAACGTCTAATAATAGTATGATAATAATAATAATCGAACGGTAATTTTGATTAAATTTTACAAAAGTTTTATTCAACACTTTTTGCTCTATTCAATAAAATAACAGGTAGGGGTGATTAGGAACCTTAATTTAATAAATGTATTATAACTACGGTGTCGTTTATCAGATTTTGAAAAACTTTATATCGATTAAAAGAAAATTGACTGTTTAGTAAAATATTTCAAAATAGTTCTGATTCAGTTGTTTAAAAGAGCACTAGGTGGTGTTGTTTAAGCAGTAACCATTTTTTTGAAGTTTTCTTGAAAAATTTAAATGGAATGTTATAATTTTTATACGTTATTTAGAAAGAGAATTAAATTCTGACAAGAAACAAAAAAAAAACCGTGTCTTATTATCTTTTTCCTAACCGAATATAAGCAAAAGTCTATTAATGGTGAATAGTCCACTTAAATATTAATAAATAAAAATTATTGATATTTTAATCTAGTTGGCTTTGAAACGTCAGTAATTTTTCGATAGCTTAACTGTAAAGCGATTAAGACAAAACATATTTAAATCGGATTTAAATTAACTCTTTAGTGTAAGTTTACTGGTTTAATAGAACTAATTGCGAAATAAAAATTCAATATATTAATAAAATACAACCAAACAAGTAACTAAACACAGAACAAAATAGAGAATGCAATACAAGAATTAAAGGTAGTGCTCGAATTGTTTTCCATCTTTTTCAATGCAAATATCAAGTCTCTGTCTAGTTGAATTGACAGCAGCTTCTATTTCAGCCCTAGGAATATGATCAATTTCAGTTTCTATTCGTTGAATTAGATCTTCTCTACTTACAGGCTGAGTTTGGTAAACTAAATCTTTAAGTCGACCCCACAAATAAAAATCTAATACGGTGAGGTCGGGAGATCTTGGTGGCCATGGAAATAGACTACCTCTTCCAATCCACCTATTCCGAAAATGTTGATTTAAAAAGTCTTTTACATTATTTGTATAATGTGCTAGGCAGCCATCCTGCTGTATCCACATATTACGGCGTACCTCTAGTGAAATATTTTCTAATAAAATAGGCAATTCGTCTCTCAGTAATCTTAAATATCGCTCACCATTTAAATTTTCATTAATAATAATAGGACCTATAATTTTACCGTCTAAAATTCCACACCACACATTTCCTGACCACCGACCTTGATTAAAAACTTCTCGCGTCCAATGAAGATTGTGGTCAGACCAGTAATGCATATTATGCCTGTTTACAGATCCATTACTGGAAAATGTAGATTCGTCGGACCACATTATATGTGATAAAAATTGTGGATCCTCATTAAGCATATTCTTAAGCCAATTACAATAACCCAGTCTTTTATCATAATCTGTTAATTTCAGATCTTGATGAAGGGCTACATGGTATGGATGGAAACGATTTTGTTTTAAAATAGAACAAACGCAGTACCTAGTAAGTCCTAAGTCGGAAGCAATTTTCCGTATACTTATATGTGGATTTGCAGCAACGTATGCTAATATATTTATTTCGTTAATTTCCGTTCTGCTTCTTCTACGTCGTTGAATAGCTTTTTTAGGTTGAACACAGCCAGTTTCTTTTAAACGAATCGCCAGATTTTTAAATGTTTCTCTTGTTTGTAAAACTCGCTGAGGATATCTCAACGCATATTCTCTGGATGCAATCGGGGCGTTCTCAAAACATTCAAAATATACTTTTAACATGTCATAAGCTTTGGAATTACTGTAAGGCATGATGTCTTTTATCTTATTAAAATATAATTAATTTGACATTTAAGCTTACTGACATTTCAAAGCCAACTTGATTAATATATCAATAACTTTATTTATTAATATTTAAGTGGACTATTCACCGTTAATAGGCTTTTGCTTATATTTGGTTAGGAAAAAGATAAAAAGACGCATTTTTTTTGTTTCTTGTCAAAATTTAATTCTCTTTCTAAATAACGTATAAAAATTATAACATTCCATTTAAATTTTTCAAGAAAACTTCAAAAAAATGGTTACTGCTTATACAACGCCACCTAGTGCTCTTTTAAACAACTGAATCAGAACTATTTTGAAATATTTTACTAAACAATCAATTTGCTTTTAATCGATACAAATCTGATAAACGACACCGTAGTTATAATACATTTATTAAATTAAGGTTCCCAATCGCCCCTACCTGTTATTTTATTGAATAGAGCAAAAAGTGTTGAATAAAACTTTTGTAAAATTTAATCAAAATTACCGTTCGATTGTTATTATCATACTATTATTAGACATTTATAGGGGAAAAGTGATTTTTTTGAATTACCATAGCGAATTACGCCCTCTAACGGTTAAAATAGAAAGTTCAAAATAATTTCTAGCATTTTCTCTTGACCGTTTTTGTTATAAAAATTTTTTTTTCGAAGCCGTAGGATCAATAGTTTCTGAGACAGCCGCTACGAGTCCTTAATCAGACTGTCAACGAGATTTGTCAAAAGTTGGAGGAAAATTAAATTGGATATAAGTACAGTTTTTCATAAACTATTTAGAAAAGTTTAATTTTTGAGCACATTAAACTTACACAACCAATCTCGTTTTTTTGATACATCTTCGTAGATTTAATAAAAGGCGTTTCTTTACTATATCTACAATGAGTGGAGACACCGTCCCATCATATAAAGATGATGAGTGTGGTGGTTCCGCTCAGGTTAGGAACGTAAGTACTCCCCCTTTACCTCCACGCTCATTAGGGGCAACCACGTTACCGAACATCTCTTTCAGGACCCGCCGACTCTTACACCCATCAAAGGCAGCGTCCCGACGCCGGACAATTTGTGTTCAGTTTTCGACAAAATTGACAACATCGAATTCATAGACACCACGCCCTCCGATCTGAACAATCAGAATTTCAAGGGATATCACACCATCGATACAGATCAGGAAAACAAAGCGAACGTAACGCTCACCCCCACTGATGACGATGATGTATTTAAGACGCCACCTATCAAGCAGCAGAAACCCAAGGTAAGACTTAAAAAAAGTTATTCTAATTATTTAATTATATTCTGGAAATAAACACCGCATTAGATAAGGGGTTAACTGTAATTTTTTAAAGAAAGTCTTTTAGAAATAGTAAAATAGTGTAAAAATAGGAATAAATCTACACTCCACTTAACCTCTACACGACCGACTGTCTTTTTTTTCTTATAGCTACACTTTTACATCTTTAATTGTTAATATTTTGCTACCTCTTACTTCAGTATCTTCGGCCACCTAGTCGCATTTCTTTACGAGTTCATCCTTTAAGCTCTCTGCCCACTACAGCGTACCATACCATGACCATAACAGGAACGTGTCAGGCACGAAAGAAAGCACTCCGGTCACTACAGTGCCCACTGCAGCGAACAAACAGCGTTTTTTCCTCACATACAACATAGCTTATAATGGACGGTGCTTGTCGGTACCTGCAAAATATTCTCGCCGTGAAATTGTTGACGGTCCTGTCATGGCACGCTACGATGTTGGCCGGTGACGGAACGGTCTAGTGGGCGTTGTCGCATATCAAAACATGCAAAGAATATTTGTTTGTATGTGTCGATACGGTTACGGTCCTAGTATGGTAAGGTGTAATGGGCAGAGACCTTTAGTCATAATACAATTGTTTCATATTAAGTAGGTTCTTTCGTTCGCTGTTGGTGTAGTGTACACCAGTGTCAATTACACCACCTTATTTACCTAGTTTACTTCCTCTTTATTCCTTATACACAAGTCGAGTGTAATTCACTCCTGCTAAATAGCTGATGGAGAAAATATCCACCAGTGGACACCACATCGCCGACAGGAAGGTGTGTGTTTTACACACGGTTTGTAGACAACACGGTGGCCTAATCACGGTTACTAAGGACGCAGTGACGTCACGGAAATGAAAAAGTGAGTTGACAGAAAATATTTTACTTGGTGACGTACATTAATTTTTTTTAAAAATCTAGTATTTTATTGTTATATTTTTATTTTTGAACTTTGTTCTGGTGTTAGAGTTTTTATAATATCGGTAGTTTGATTTTTTGAAAGACGAGCTACAAAACATCAAGGAAAAATCATGTATTGATTTCCATAAAATTTCAAATCAATTACTTTTTATTTGAATTATAAAGAGAAATATTATTGTGTGAATGGTTTATTTTAAACATCCGAGCTGAATTCGGATCACACTTGATGTCCAGAAATATTTTGAAATTTTGGCCAGCCTGTAGCTAGCCGTAGTGTTGTTGCCTGCCAAAAGGGCCAAACAATTTTTAATTTTTACAGACATAAATCGTTAGAAGTAATAAAGGGACTCAGCCTAAACTGAAATTAAAGGCTTATGGTAAGATTTTCGAGTATTATTCTGATTATATAAGTCTTCAGAAATGTATCCAATAGAAATTACAGATTTTACATAGTTACTGCGTATTGATGAGCGAAAACACCTTTGACGACGTGATATAATCACTTTGGTGTTTCGCCTCCTCCAACAATGTGAATTTTGTCATGGCAACAATTGTTTTGAAGTTTGTTGATAAACGTCAAAAAAAACATCAATTTTCTTCAAAGTTTTTGAATTGTTTCGACATGGAACGCTTTGGTAGCAGCTCTGGGATAGAAATAGATGAAGAAATGATTGGAAACAGTTCACCGAATTTTGTGAACGGCGAAATTATCAACTTTGTGCTCAAACTTCTGACGAACAATAGACCTTTTCATCACAATTTTTTTTGTGCGCATGCGTCAGTTTCAGCCATCTTTTTCGTACTGTCACAGTTTATAGCTTAACCCTTTAAGGCGCAGAACTTTTTTTTTTAATTTTCGATTAATTTTTGGTTTTAATTTATTGCATAGGCTTTATGGACACCCAAAAAAAATGCTGAAAAAAATATTTTGATAATCAGGACTTTGTAATAGCGTGGTTAGTATATTGACCACTGATACTTTGGGAATTAAAATTTTACGGTTTAGCGGTGGTTAATATAATAACCACTTCCAATAAACGAAGCAAATTATACAAAATCATGTTTATTATAAAGTAACAATATTATAAACAAAATATATCAAGCATTATGGAAAGGAGCGAAATACTCCAAGCAAAGAGCCACATCACATTGACGGCAAATGAGGGTGGAACTTACAGGTTTTGCTCGAGTGCTGCAGTGTGCACATCTTCTAATTTTGCCTCTAATCGGAATGTGAGTACCAACATTCAAAAATCTTGTAGAGTTGTCAACTCTAACCGATCGACCGGATGGTTTTCTCATTTTGTTGCTCGTAATCATTACCGCAATAGGCCCTGGACGTTTTCGAAAATTTGCATCCTTTAGAAGTTCATCTACCAACAAACTTCGAAACATTAGACAAGAAACTGGCTTTTTACGAGATCTCAAGGATAACTCCTTATAGCAAATATAACTATTCGTAATAACAGCATCAATGAGGTAGTAGAAAATTCGAATCCACCATCGTCTACTTTTCCATGAAATATTATTTTTACCTGAAAAAAGAAGTCTTAAAAAATCGAACCGAACTGCAAAATAGATGAACTGGGTTTTCAAAGTTTTTTACATACCATACTATATATTTTCATTAACCATATTTTGGCATACGAACAATAAATAACCTTTGAATGAAGAAAAAACGGTTTTTCACAGGAATATCTACACGGTATACGCCAAGCCCCCCCCCCTCCCCCTTCCCCCGAGAACGCCACTGCCTCCATAATCACTTTCAGATAGTTAAAAATATATATTATAAAAGAATTTGAAAACAAAAATATCTCGAGCTTGAACTTACAATTGACCTGGTAAGAAAGGACTTTTTTCCTTCTTACACGGTCAGAAACACTAAATAACATCTAAGCGCAAAAATATGCTAATATTTTTATGTGCTAAATTTCTAGCTTATAGTTCCAGAAAAACAGTGATCTAAAATAATAATGCTTATTTTTTTATATTTTGTGAAATATAATGATAAACAAAATGTCTTACCTTGAGAAAACTTGCGAAATCTCTGATATTTTGTAACAAATTCGATGGCACTAATACAAAAGAGCGATTTTTACTAAAACACGTGTTGCACTAACATGTATAGAACAGGAATAAGCCACGACTAGTTTTTATTTGCTTTTTCTTTAGAAAGATACACGAAAATAAAAAAAGCGCGCCAATTGTTTCGGCAAAATACCGCTATCGAGTGCGCAGTGGTTAGTTAAGTGATCACTTTCAATATAAATGGCCAAGCGTTAAAAATGTCGCCATCTAATCGATCACTGCGTATGTAGACTTTTTAGGTATGCCGATTAGAGCTATATTCGGCTAATTTGGTAACTGAATAAATTATCGGTATGATAGTTATTGACGTGGTTAGTATATTGACCACAGCTACTTAAAGGGTTAAAAGAATCAGTTCGCTCACTCGGACTAATTGGATGTTCCAAAATAACATCCACTCCAGGGATACAAATTCAGGATACGCAGAAGACTGCTGTTTGAATATAAGCGGTTGTCATATATTGTATTAGGCATTCCAAACAAATGAACTGCCAGTGGGAAGATTTGATATATCTAAGGATTGCGACATACGATGTATTCTGTTTACAATACGTAAAATCATGAATAATGGATTACATTTAAATATTTTATGTCAAACACAATAAAAATAAGATACATTTTTTCATAAATTGGCAGGCTTTGTGACTATTATTTCGAATAAAAAAAAACGTTCAAGATGCAAGACTATGTCTCTACCCCCTTAGATATAGGGACCGTGCGTGAAATATAGAGGCAGCACTACTGCCGAACTTAGCCCTCTCTAGTGTTTAATTTTAGAATTAAATGGGGTAAACATTGCAAGTAAATAATGAAGGGTATTTTTTTAAATATTAAATATAGTTAAAAATAGATACCGGCCCGTACCAAACAATCGTGTACATGGTCAAAATGACGTAAAATGTGAAACATTATTAAAATCTGGACATGCATATACATTTTAAGCAAAAAAATTTAAATGGCTAAGTGACAATAAATTGTAAAGTTGTACCTTAAACAAGTGTATCCAATGTTAAAATATCGGTATTTAGTAACACTGAATTTAAAAGTATTACAATAACATTTAAAAAATGTAAATTAATAAAAAAGATTGATAATAATAATTATAAATCTTTTTAGCTTTATGTTAATCGAAATGTCATTCATCCACTGGCGTTTATGAGATGTTCAATGATACATATATTATAGATTGCTCACCCAACTATAAAAAAATTATGAAAAGCGGGTTGCAATGTGCCTTTCCTAGTGCTCACTAAATAGAGCCGTTCTAGCCCAAATGTGTTTTAAAATAAAATTTCAGCATTTTAATCTTTAGAAAAAGAAAATAATTAAAGTTTTACTTCAAGACATGTCATTATGTATTTGGAAAGTTGAGTTTTCATGTAGTTAAATAATATTAAGAGATCTAAACAATTTTTATAACAGATGAATATAAATAATTTTAGACTACTATTTCAGAAACAATTCTACATAAAATACATAATTGCAATATGTAATACAATTTTGAAAAGGTAATGTAAACAATTTTGATATGAGGTATAAACAACTTTGGTAAGAGTTGTAATTGGACACTTATCTATTATTCTGAATAATGTTTAATGGTAATGTCACTAAAAAAAATTACAAAAAATCACTGGATTTTTAATATTTTAAAGTTTGTTACAATCTCTTTTGACAGTAATTGCAATGTATTATTTATGATTTGTTTATTTTAATAATAAATGAGAAATAGTTAATAAATTGTAAAGAGGGCCGTGATATTTTTGTCAAATTGGTCATTCTTATTTCATAACATTCTACATTAGTTTTAATCAACAGAATAAACCATTATCTGTAAAATTATATTTATATAAAATGTTCATTTAAATATGTAAAAATATTAATGACAAGAAAACACTAAAGATTCTAATTTCTAAACCGGTTCTGTAAATGATTTCTTTACAACTAAGTGCTCAAAATTGATACAAGCTAGATAAAAAGAAAACTTTGCCCAGTGAAATACGCTTTTCGTCGTCTGATTTACATATGGATAAGCAATCTTTGTAATTATGTATATCATTGGGTGTGAGGCATAATTTTGCTCTGTGGAAATTTATAAAATTTCTTTACTATCGAATGAAATAAAGGTTTCTAAAGTGATGTGTTTGTACATCCACGGATGCAACAAGTTTTTTCGATATTGATATTACGAAAATAATTCGACTTCATTTTATTAATAATTATTAAACAATAAATGCCGTATAAAACATTAATAAATACCCCCCAAAAAGTTCACATTTTTGTCACCAGTTAGCGTTAAAGTCATGACGCACGGTCCCTATACCAGACCTTCTCACTGACAGCTATTGTTTGACAGGTCGTTAGAATGCTTAATTGGTAATAGTAAGAGAGCCCACTGCAAATTACGACCGCCATCTGATAACAAAATGAAATATGCTCCAAAGACATGTAACAGCATTGTACTTTACCAAATTGCACCTGTGCCAATCTGTAATCCACAGCAAAGTGGTTAAAAAAATTATTTTATATTCAAAAAATTACATAAGACATGACAGCGATAATTGTGTTTTCTCTGAAAATTACAATCCTAATTCATTGTGAATTATTAATATTTTTACCTAACTTTGGCAGAGATAGTCAATAATAATTATAAACTCTTGTTAAAACCATAATCATAATAGTTTTTTTGTCGTTTCTATGACAACCTGTAAAAATGAATCACAACAATAGGCATACAATAGTATATTATGCAACGATCATGTAATGATGGTTATTAATACACGAGCATTAACCGGGATACGAAACGAGCCAAAGGCGAGTTTCGTATGGTTTATGCGAGTGTTTTAATAACCATTACATGAGAGTTGCATACGCTATTTTTTCTACACCCGATAAATAATCAAGACCTATAAATATTATATTTATATTGGTATTGAACACAATAACAGTAATTACTCGTATTTCTATAAAAAATTCTACAAAATTGTAATTAATGGTATTACTTCAGGTATTGGTATTTCCCTAGATTTTTGCGGTAAAATATTTTGTACTGTATTTTCTGCTTTCTCCGATATGTGTGGAGGAGTCTTCTATATCGCTAATATCAGACATTTTAATATTATAATTATCGAAGTTTAGCTACCTACGAAAATTTAATACGTTTTGACAACTAAAATAATTACATAGGAACCTAGGACAAACGTCAAACAGCATGCTTGATTGAAAAATTGTAGGTTTCTATTGATTAAAAATCTGTATCGTAATGAAAAATCTGTATCATAATGGGTATCATTATGAAACGGATTATGGGCATATAAGTGCATTATTATAATACGGGTGTAGAAAAATAAATTTTTAAATCAGCAAAAATTGATTCATATTTTTAATGATTTTTACCTACTAATCGTGTGTAGATGTTTTTGTGCGGTGTTAAGAGGAAGAAAATGTTTCCCGTTAACGATATACAGGGTGTTAAAAAAAAGTGTCACAAAATAAAACTGGGGGTAGTATGGGCCAAAATATGCAGAAAAGTCTTAATAAACATATGTCCGCAAATGAATGGTTTCAGAGATACGGAGTGTTTTGTGTTTTGTATCATTTTTTGATTATCTTTTTTCATTCTCAAAAACTTGCTTTTCTTATCGGAGTCTACCGATGTTTTTTCATAGATGCTATTTGCAGTTATTATTTTGTTGTGGGTGAATAATTTTATAAATTTTCGTTATGCCTGCTTACACTAATATTGAATTAGCTGACATGCATTTTATGTACGGTCGTGCAAATGGCAATGCGAGGCCGCGAGGGAAGCGCTACGTCAGTCATTTAACTCTATGTTGTTATTGATTGTTTATAAATAACATTGTTTTTTTATAATAATAAAAAATTGTTATAAACACAAAATGGTCCGTATCTCCGAAACCGTTAATTTGCGGTCATATATTTATTAAGACTTTTCTGCTTATTTTGGGTCATACTATTCACCATTTCATTTTGTGACACTTTTTTTTAACACCCTGTATATCAAGATATATTTGAATATGTTACAGTTTTCTTGAAAATTTTAAGTGACTAACTATCAGTCCATAAATTTTTTTTTTAATCAAATACCATGAGAGATACATGTTTTTTGCAAGAGAGAAAAAATGCTACAAATTAAAACAGCTCTCCACAAAAGGGAACAGGGGCGGCCCTGAAAAAAAAAAAAAATACGATGTCATTTATGGTAGGATTAGGGGGGTTTTTACCCTTCCATAATTTCAGTTGGTGTAATTTTTGCTTTGAACAATGGCTCTTCAATTAAAATAGCTACACACCAAATTTTATAAAAATATCGTTCCATCCATACAATTTGTATAAATGGAACGATATTTTCAGAAGTGGTGTAGCTCTGTGCTACACTTTCGATGCAAAGGAAAAGACATATTGTGTGTAAACAGTAAAAATTGTTTGCCAACAACAAAACTACGACTCACTCCAGGCTTGCCAATATTTCGGGATATAAACAAAGTGGGATCTGCATTTAGCAAGGAGGTCGTACCCTAAATCAAAATGTTTAAAATAAACCATTCACACAATAATTCTTTATAATTACATATTGTTTCCATGCCGTTTTGAGCTTGTCTTTCAAAAAATCAAATTACCGATTTTATAAAAACTCCAACACAGATGTATAGTCCAAAAATAAAAATATAAACACCACTAAATATTAATAAAATATTAGATTTTCTAAAAAAACTAATGTAGGAACCGCAGCAGAACATTTTCTGTCACCTCGATTTTTAATTCCGTGACGTCACACCCTTCCTTAGCAACGGACGAAGAGGCCATCGTGTTGTCTATGAACCGTGAGTTTTACACTGGGCCAAACGAAAGGTTTAGTGTCCGTTGGTATGGTTCATTCCTACACCAGTGGTACGAACGAAAGAACCTAGTGTGTCGGTATATAAATACAGACTACAATGTCTGTATTAGCTTAAATTACTTTTTGTCTAAACTCTACGAGTATCTGTCGAAATGGTGCCAAAAAGTTAATTTTATGTTTTTTCTTAGCGTGGTCTTGCTTCAAATATGTTTTCTGGTACATTCTGTATTTGTCCACTTAACCTTTTTTTTATTTTCTCTTATACATATCATCTTTTTTTTGTTTTACATCCTTATCTAATTACTATAATATGTTCCAAAGATGTTGAGTTTTATAATAAATGTTTGAATAGTTTTTTCAAAGATGTTTATTTAACAAACATCGTCTTTATTGTGGTTTTATTTCCAGAAGTTAATTTCTTTTTTAATATATCCTCTTAAGTTTACACATCTATTTGCTAGATTTTTAGAAGTTTATTCTTTTATTTGAAAGTGACTATTTTCTCTTAATCGTAATTTATATATTTGAAATACAATAAACTTTTACCAGTACATACACTTGGAAACAGTATTATACCATGACCAATCAAAAACCACTGTTATTTATTTAAGGGAGCGTTCAATTATTACGTAACGCAATTTTTGGAGATTTTTAACCCCCCCTCTCCCCATGTAACGCGCCGCAACGTTTTTCTGTACCCCCCTAGTAAAACGTTACGTAACCGCCAATGACTATTTTTACCTAAAAATCACAATTATGTGGCGTAAAGTACCGGAAAGTCGCTAAAATACGCGACTTTTCTGAAGGGTTAAAAAATAATAATGTTACGTAACGGGAAGTTCAACTCCCCCCTCCCGTCCCTGTAACGCATCGTAACGTTTTACAAAACCCTCCTCCCCCCCAAATTCGTTACGTATTACTTGAACGCTCCCTAAAGTAGTAAACAACTGTTGCTTTATGTTGCTTTCAATATTGTCTTTTAGCATGTTATGTTGTAGATATTTGAAGCATCATAGTAGTATAATAGCTATTTATGCAACCAGTTACGAAATGCCTTATTTTATGTAACCAGTGAATATTTGCGGATCGAGCAGAGGGAGGCCCCGCATCATGAACAAGTTACATAGAACGGCATTTCGTAACGTGTTACATACAATATTTTTTTCTAATTTTGACTAAATTATAAAATTGTGTTTTGGTAAAAAATTACTGAAATCTAGACAACCAATATTACTTTTTTGTATTGTTGGTTGCATATGCATAACTATAATCTTTTATTGACAAATGAAACTTGTGTGTATATTGCTTGTTAAAGTTATTTAGTTTTCAAGAAAGTGGGTTATTTTGTCGTGTATTATGTTTTAATTATTTTGTGCTGATTTAGAATGAAAATAAATAAGGACGAAAACAACATTATTACTAGGTTGTAAGTTTAACCAAATTTTATTTTTATAAGTCAACCTGACCTTCTTTAATATAAATATATTATTGATTTTAAAACCAAAAAAGGTTTATTTTTATTTGTTTTCTTTTTCCAACTGGTGACAATGAATTTTTCGTAACCACTTTCATAATGTTCAAAATTATGCAACTGGTTGCGTAAAGTAGATCAGTTTGACATTTGCTGCGATTACAAAAAATGTCATTTTATATGTCAAAATTAGAAAAAAGTATTTTGGGGTTTAATACCCATATCCATGCTATCCTAAAAAAAGTTTAAAAAAATGCAATTAGACATATTAAGGAATACCCATTTAAAATCCAAACAATGCCCTAACCCATCTGCAAATCGCTCGGGGTCGCCCGGCGTATCGCCAAAAGTCTTGGACCCCTAGAATATGTTGACATATTAAAAACGTTATAACGAGAGCAAAACATAAATTCTTAAATCACTCTAAAACATAACCAGTGAAACACTATTCAATAATTGATCGAATTAAATCTACTATCTACTAATAAAAACGTTCAATTAAACTTTTTTAGAATTCGGTGCAGTATTTACAAAAACTGAACGCAACTTAATTATTTTGGACTTTTTAGAAATGACTTTCCTTTGTCTATCAATTAAGGGCGGGTTGTACAAAGAATGCTGTAAACTTAGTTAAGGTAACAGGAGTTTAATTTGTAACTGGTTATATTTAAAGTATAATTGTCATTTTTAAAACTATGTTTAATAATAATTAATGATTATACAACGAGGTTCACTGTTTAAACTAATATTACATTTTAACTATAGATATGATACTTAGCCAACGATATCTCGTTGAGTTCGCGCATGACGTATATATTGTGGTGTGGAATATGATTATCTGATTGGCCATGAGCAGATTAAAATTTATTTTCGCGCGCTGTTCTCGATCAGCGATACTTCAAATTCGTAAAAGCCACGCCTCGTAATCTGCGTAATATCATATCTTCTTTTTAATAGTATCAGAAACAGAACGGCTTTTTAATAGTATCAGAAACAGAACGGCTTTTTAATAGTATCAGAAACAGAACGGCTTCGAATCTTACTTACACCAGACCATGTGGATTTTTAATTAAATTGTATGGTTCGTTATAGAATGTGTACCGTATTAATAGAAATTCAATTTCTGTTGATATGACATGCAGATTATAAAATCGCCATGCGTTACCATCTCGATGATGGTGGGTGAGGTTTTCCGGGTTTTCCACACCTGTAAGTCAAATGGCACCATCCATCATCTTTAAGTCGCCCCGGAGCGCCACGGCAAATAATAATAATAATAATAATATCCTTCCCTTCCCCTACACAAGTGGCTTAGTCGACTTCAGGGGTTGAAATTCACTCGGAAAGGCGTGAATTAAAGAGAGTATTATTATTATTTTTTGGTATCATTATCTCTAGGATAGGTGCGAAAAATGCAAGATCGGCCAGTGTAAGATTCTTGCATTTTATTTATGTAGTAACGTTTAAGAATGTGCGTACAATAGAGGTAGTGAATAGTATCACTGCCTTCTGCTATTTTGTTGGCAATTTCCAGCACCCTCAAATTGTTAATGAATGACTTTGGTACTACACCGGTCGAAGATATAATTAACGGTACTACAAACTCTCTGGCGTCACATTTGTTGAATTTCCTGCCCAAGTATCTGGTACTTTTCTTCCTTCTCAGTGTAGTAAGTCAAGATATTGTGACTATTTGAGATTCCTATATTAATCAGCAAAACTCTTTTTCTTGATTTATCAACGATGATGATGTCTGGCCTATTGTGAACTATAGTACGGTCTGTTAGTACCGACCTATCCCAGTACAACTTGTGCGTATAGTTTTCCAAGACAGGACTAGGCTCGTACTTGTAATATAGTATATCTTCGCTCAGGAGGCCATATAAGCTCGCCAGGATCTGATGGACAATCTTAGCTACCAGATTGTCTCGAGGGATATTCACTTGGTACTAGTGTTGTGCAAGCGCTTATGTGTTGGATGGTCTCGGATTGTTAGTGACATTTTCTGCATAAGTCATTTTCCACTTGAGCCTTTATTATGTACTTAAGGTAGTTTTTGGTGGCAATAACTTGGTCTTGGATCGCTATCATGAATCCCTCTGTCTCTGCAAATATGTAGGTTCGTCCTAACCATCCATTCGAGGCCTTAGAGTCGACATAAGGTTGGCTGAGGAGACTGGCATGACGACCATATAGAGGTTTGGAAGTACAGTCCTGTTTCTTCTCATGTATACATCTGTAAAATGTCTTTACAAAAACATACCACATATTCCTTAGACCAAAATAAGTCGATTTAAGTAAAATTACCTTAGTACAAAGTTGCTTCGTTTGGGCTCCAGAGGGCCTTGAAGTTACAATTTTTAAATCGTTTTTCCCATATAAATTTAAAACAGCATATGCGATTTTGCTGAAATTTGGTATATTGGTAGAGTTTTATGTGGCAAAAAAAATAGTATTAAAATTTTGTCCGATAATAATACATAGGCGTAGAACTTGATTTTTTAAATAATTGCACCTTTAAAAATTCTACGCCAATGGAAGAAAAGGAGTTTGAGTATGAAATTTAGATTGCGCAACTCATTTACTTTTAACAAAGTACTTTTGATAAGACTCGATTACTCTCATGGTTTTTGGTTTTGTTCACTGCCAAAGTAACATCCCGTGCTGTGAATTCCACGTTCTCCATGTCAGGTATTTCAGATACTCTTTCTTCCTCAGATGTTATCCATGTTGCATTTTTTCATGTTCAATTTCATCTGTCCATATTTAGCTCCAAAAGTCCAGTAATTCTTGGGATGATTATCTGATACTATTTCAGGATTCACATTCAAAGGTGGTTCTGGATCTTTACCAGGATGTCCTGCGCCTGAGACTAGATGGTAAGGTCCTGGGTCTTCTTGGTTTACCTCTTGTTCTATTTGCGAGATCGCGACTTCTATTTGATGAGAAGGTACATCTCTTGCTACATCTTGCCTAATTTGAGCTATCCGCTGTTCAGTAACTTGCCACTCGGAGTACTTCTGTAGAAATGCCAGGTGTAACAATAGTCGGTACGCTCCTATATCTGTTTCATTTTTAGTAATATTGTAGTAGCAACGCATGATGTATTCATTCATTTATGTAGTCCATTTCAGGCGTTGCCGTGATTTTCCAGCCACTGTGGTCCCTAGCCTAGCTGGGGAAGTACGTCTTGCGACTGGGGTCCGGGGTTCAATTGCTTGGTCGTCCTCTTGATCAGGCTTATTTTTATTAGAGCTGCGTTCCCGATCATAATGCTGCTTTATCGATGCTTTATTCCTTGTAACAGGTGTAATTAAATCGGTTAGCTTGGGCAGACCGGGGGCGCAACTCCCGCCTCCAGAAGGTAGCAATGGGATCCCTGGTCGTTCCTCTTTTAGTCGCTTTGTACGACAGGCGGGAGGTACCATGGGTCTATTCTGCGTGGGTGGTCCCGATCCCATATTATTATTATTGTTAATCATGTATTTTAACTGCCTATAATATTATTGTTACCGTAACTTCTAAAAGGCTTTAATGAAATTGGAAAAAATTAATTTTGCTATTTTAGATAAAAAAAAAATACGTGAGACTTTATATTTATGTTTGTTTTATACTAGAAAATAGTGAATTAAAACAAACAACAAAAGTAACTAGTGGCGGCCTAGATGTGTTCAAATCGTCTCCCATAATTTTTCATGCAAAACGTTTAGTCTGTAACCAGTAGATTTATGCTATTGAAATACTTTGATTTCGTATTCTCTCCACCATATTGTCTAGAGAACAAGGTCTTTTATTCGTCTCCACAAATAAAAGTCCAAATAAGTTAAGTCTGGAGACCTTGTTAAAATTATTATAAATTATAACTCAAGTACGAACAAATGGGCATGAAAACGTAGACGCGCAAAATGACAGGTTCAATAAATTTGACGCATATCTACTTTATAATATTTCCATGGCCAAATATTTGTTTTTAAATTGTACCTTGTTTGTAAAATTTCATTTCACAGATCTCTCTAGTAATTAATAATTTGGTATAATATAATAATTCTTTAGAATTTTAAACTTTTAATATACTACTTAGTAGTGTAAGTAAACATAATTTTCTTTTCTAAAATGGTCAAATTTATTTAAATTTCTTTAATGCCCTTTACCGGCAACAATAACAATAAATATTAGGCAAAAAATTAAATCATTAATATGCCAAGGATAGTAATTTCTAACGTGTCCAAAATTGTTAAATTTCGTTCAGTGGAATTAGAGAAATCGATATTTAAAGAAAAATATATCAATAGGTACTTCGGTTTTCACTGACTTTTTGGTAATTCAGTTGTGGTAACTGCAAACTTTCATTTAATATTTTCAATAGATGTAAAAAAATTAAACAGTGCCCTCTAGCAGGTACGTTACTTATTAGATTCTTTCGAGTTTATAAATATTACATTGATGGAGAAGCGCTGTTTTTAACAAGACCAAGTTTGCAAAATTCGGTTAAGCAAATTATGGTTCCCACTTCCCTCACCTCTTATATGACATTAAGAAGGAAATTCTTCTAGATAAAAATGTGCTGAATTTTCTGTAAATTCCAACTTATTTTAGAATACCTACCTTAACTTGGTAAATTTTGTATAAAATAAGCATTTTACTAGTTGGTGTTCAGTTTCGCCATCTGACGGTTGTTCTACAGTTGTCTAAATTTTTCCATTCTTATTGGTCCATTGGGTACATGTGCAATAAACCGTATGTGGTGAAATTTAAATAGTAACATTTCATGGGGATCCAAGACTTGACGACATGGCTTTCTTTAAATATTAAATTTTATGTACCATTATAGGTTAGGCCAAAATCAAACAGTAACAAAAAGAAGACCAAGAAAGATAAGGTAAAACCAATTGTTAGTATGGAACTTTCTCCGGAAAGTTCCGATCATACTGAAGTAGGAAAGAAGCTGTCGGAATCGTCGGGGAAAATTGTTAAGGAGAAGACACCGCCCAAAGAAAATACAATTACTGTACGCACTCAAACCACTGATACCGAAACTGCGAAAGTTGTCACCACAACTACGAGCCTAAACAGGTAAATATTGAACTTATCTCACTTTCATATTCTTTGGACTGCTTAGTCAACGTTTTTGTTTTAATTTCTTGTCCTGGAAACGTTTAAATTATACCATAGAATTATTGACAACTGACACTACTAGTTCTCATAATGAAATGATATAATGTATTTATTATACATGATACAAGATACAGAGGTATGATACTTAGCCGATGAAATCTCGTTGAGTTCACGCATGACGTATTGTGGTCCGAAATATCTGATTGACCATGAGCAGATTATTATTTTTGGAGCGGTGTTTTCGATCAGCTTATACCTCAAATTAGTAAAAGCCACTCCTCCGGATCACTATACGTCACCGTGTCGTATCAATCGGCGTAATATACTTCATACAATATAAAAACCTTAGAATATATATAGTCAGGAAGGAGCATGCCATGTCCGCGTTAACCTAATCAATCTGACGGAAGTGGTAGCCATGTTGTACTATGGATGACTCATCATCATATGATAAATGGTTTCTAAAATTGGTTTATAATTTTGTAAGGGGTTTTCTCGCCACAGAGAAAACGGTTCCTTACGAATGGCGCTGGTTACGGGCGGTTCTCGAGCGCCAGATTTTTGGTTATGGTTTACTGAACAAACTCCCGAAACGGCGTCGAAAGTACTCGGGTAGCTACAGATAGAGATGAAAAATTCCAGGGGTCAAAGGTCACTTAGACACAGGTAATAGTAGGCCACAAGTAACGGGCTTTAATCGTTGCTTGGGCTGGTACACAATTTATCACTAGCTGAAATATAAGGGTGAAATCAAGTAAGGAATTAATAACCAGTAATACGGCAAGTTAACATTGACACATATATTGTTTTAAACTATTTACAAAAAAAAAATTAATGTATTTCAACGCCCACCCTCACGGTAATATGTATAAACCCTGAACAAAAATAAACAAACAAGACGGCCGGAAATGACTTCCGAATAGCCTCAATCAGACGCAAAGAAAAAAATGAAATCAATAATTGTAGTAATCACGGTCGCAGCAAAAGTTTATTATTGAAACGTCTATTCGGTTGTTGAGCTAAAAATGTAACTTGCTATTTCGTTCGGAAGTATTATTTCGGTCGTAGCAAAAATTAACTGTTAAATTGTCTAATCGGTATTTACAATCAAATGTAATTGAATGTTTCGGCAAAGCAAAATTTCATATGCGGTTGCAGAGAATGCGAGGAGACAGGTTCGGGACAGTACTAATTCCAGGGCTGAAACCGGGACTATATAGGAAGTTTACTCAAACTAGTGGTTGGAAAGTAAAACCAACTAACAACCGGGATAGTACATTATCTCTGAATGAAGTGATCGTAAGCACGAGCCTCTTCAGACAGGAGAATGATGCTATTTAAGTTCTCTTAAAATTTGCGGTTCGCAGGAGAAAACAAAAGAAAATGTCTCGTCGCAATTCTATTAAGATAACCAATCAAAATATTAGACAATTCCCAAACAGTTCCGACCAATTATTTATTGGTCAAAGCTTTAAATAAACTAAAATGAAATTTACGATTTGTCTGCGATCAACTGTGCTTATAGGCGTAGTCTCGTGGTTTATAGGGTATACATAATTTTATTTAAATAATTATTTTATGCAACTTTAAGATATTTATGTGGTTGTTAAAATGAATAAATTATTATTCAATTTAAATTTATAAATTGATTGCAAGTAAATAATTTTCAGATTTCTTAAAGATTCTAGATTTACAAATTATATAAATTAATCCTAGGTAGACAATTTTCAGATTTTCTAAAGATTCTCAAAAAACAATGTTATGGCTTGAGTTCATGCAACAAACAAATTGTGAGCCAAAATATCTTAATTTTTTGTGTTCACGCCATTTTAAACAGATTCTTTTGATCGAACCTCAAAACCAAGAATAAGGCTTCTACCAACAGGTGTTCCAACAATAAAAGTGGTCTGGTTGAAGTATATAAGTAAATAAATTCTTTACTAACTATATCATGTTTTTTCATATAATAGAAGTTTTTTGTATGAATGTGATGCACCCTATATAATTTATTACAAAGTTATTTACAAAAACGAACACAAATAGAATTAATAATATCTCAAGTAAGGAAATAAGTAGCATATCGCATGCCTCAAGATATGGTCTTAGGTCCTATCTTGTTTAATTTTATTTCAAATAATTTGTCGTTTAAATACAGATGGAAATATTGTAAGTTTTTCATGTAAAAATAATCTATTTTGCACTCATAGAATCATTATTACGTTATAGGATCCTTTCTTGGAAAGGTGTTTTACCTGTTTATGCAAAATTGTCCTGCAAAAAATATTACTAATAATATGTAATAAAATGATCAGAAATTCTCTTCGATATTAGGAAGTTTTATATGTACTCCAACAAAAACATCTAAGAAAGAAATATAGCACAGCGGTGTTTGACCTAAATATAAGTATAGGATATTTATGTATTTTTAACGCATTTCTACAAAACATTTATTTTTCAAACCTTAATAATTTGTAAAATGTAGATTAATAAAGAAATTATAATAATAAAGACGTAAAAAGTCAGTATTTTTTTTAATGCATTATTGCTTTGATTTTTTAAATGAAATTCCTCTATAAATTATCCCAAAAATATTTTTCTATATTTATCCCACCCAACATGCAATTTTAAAGTAAAATTTATTCACATAATGAATGTTAATAAAAAAAATGCAAACTTCTCGCAAGAAAATAGCAATTCGTTAAAATGAGAGAAATCGGTAAATTTAGATAATATGCAAATGAGAATTTATTATTTTCTTTTCTACGCTCTTTTTTGACAGTACATCACTGGTAGACCGGAAAAACTTGTCGCCATATTCGTCTAGTTCACTGTCAAAATTAGATACCATCGCAATTCCAAGATCGTTTAGGATTCCTCCTTCCTGACTATATATAATCTAAGATTAAAACCAGTGCACGTCATCGATGACGTAATAAATTTTAGACCGTCACAGCTCCACACCGTTGCCAAATTTTGAAAATAATTGGGGAACCTTTGAAAG